GCGCTCCTCCACTTTGCTCTTTTTCACCTTGATTTTGTTGATGTCCTTGTCGGGTGCGGCCGTTTCCAGATGTTTGGTTTGCTTCTCCAGCTCATTGACTTGACGCGCCTTGACGGCCATTTGCGTTTCGATCATTTGCCGCTTTTGCAACAAAATATTCAAAGAGGCCAAATCCGACCCCGTGTCGTCGCTTTCGATTTGTTTCTCGAGTTCGTTCATCCATGAGTCGATGTCGTCGCAGGTCTGGTGAATCAATACTTCACGATTAGCGTCAAACAGTCGTTCACCCTTCTCCTTGGTGGTTTGTTCCAGAACATCGAACTGATCGGCCAGTTCCTCAATCTTGGGCGAGATTGAGGTTGCAAATTCCGGCTTCTCCTTGGCGAGTTCCCAGTCGGGATGCTCCACGTGCAGCAACTGTCTGGCGAGTTGATTAACTACAGCCACTCTAGACGCGTTCGAGTTCATCTCTTTTTCAACGCCATAGTAGTGGTGTTTCATGATTTCCACGTCCTCAACGTTCTTTCGTTTACCTTCAACGGTTGACTTCAGGTTTTCCAATTTCTTAGCCTTGTCGTCCATTTTATTCAGCATCTCTTTACTGTTGTCGCTCATTTCGTCTTTCATCTGCATGAGCAGTGCAATCAAACTGGGGTTCTCCATTGCAGGGATCTCCATTGCTCCTTCTTTGATTTACTTCTTGTTTTCATCAAAATTCAACTTGGATTCTGGTAAATCCCACTTCTGACACCAAATGTATCGTGGCCATCCACGGTATCAAACTCTTTTTCAGCTTCCAACTTTTATTCACCTCGGTATAACTTTAAATGCGGAACAGGAACAAACTAACTTCAAAATGACTGTCAACTTCACAAACAATAACAATAACCGACGGAAAACTAGCTCTTCCGACTCGCGGTGTTCAACCTCTTCTGCACCCGGTCGCTCCTGTCACTTCACTCCCCGTGTGTTTAGTTTAGAACAGGGAATATTAAAATTATATTATTGTAAGAACTGCCAGCATGTTGGCACCACTTTTCACGCAGATGTCTGTCAATGCACTTAATGTGAAGCGCATTGTGAATCGTCAGCGCATTATTCATTACTCGATTATCGCTGCACCGACATCCATCAGATCAGCTAATTGTTACCACGTGTTTTGTATTTTACAATAAATTAAGTTAGCGCCTATTTATTGTTTTCTTCATAAAAAATATAACTACAGTCCACTATATTGAAGAGATGTGTGCAAACATCCGAACACCCTGTCTTTTTTTTTTGTTTGCCCGGCGGCGGCTGGAGGATAAAAATCTTCTCGAAGACACCCAGTGTCCGTTGACACTGGGTAGTGTTGGATTTCTACCAACTAAAAAACCCCCGTTTTTAACTTCAAGTTTTCGGGAGTTGTCCTTTGAAACTTGCGGTCTTCTGTAAGAATGGTTCAGCTCTGGCATCCGTATGCCTTTACATCACATTCTCTCCATACTGGCTATCTGCTAGTATGGGCATCTTACTAATTTAACACAAGCACTACACATCACTACTTCTATCACACTACTGTAACTATATTTCACACTTACAGCCCCTGCAGTGAACTGCTTTACCTATTGCCCTGTTGGGCCATCTGGTGCCTGGGCCTTTTTTTCCTGGGCCCAGCATCCTCTGGTGAGTAATCTACGGCATTCCGTAGCTCAACAAAGGGGTGGTTTTCGGCCTTTTCAAAGGTCGGGGCAGCTTTCCGTTGCAGGAAGTCTCTCAGACTCCCCCTGTCTGGTTCTCGTCGTCGCTTATATAGTTTCCTCCAGGTAACCCAGATAGTTCTCGGAATCTCCAGAACAGGTGCTAAACTTCCCGCGTGTCAGTGTCATATTTGACAGTAAATGGGGCCCAAATGGGGCTCTCATTTACTGAAATACCATGAATTTTGATCGCCCATTCCAAACGTGAGTACCCCAGGCCATTTCCGTTACAATATCAAGAAATAAAATGAACCTTATAATTTGCTCATCCTATACGTTATGTTCTTTATTTATAAATGCTTTTGTCGACGGATAACCAAGAAACGGATATCAGTGTTTTTTACCTGTTATCATTTAAAACCCATTAGCGTGTATCAGTAGCTCACTTATAAAAATGACAATTGGTATGCAAAAATATTAAGTATCTTTATTCAGCCGTGCTGCTATTTCTTAGAGAGTAAAATGAAGATTGTTTTGGTTGTAGTGATTATTTCCTTATGGATTGGAGGTACGCTAATTTAATTCCCAAGACGACAAAGATATTTAAAAACAATTTAGTAAAGTTTATGTAACATTTCTGATTTGGTTCAAACGCAAGAGTCCTGTGCGTTCCTGACATGTTCAGGTGCTCATCAAGTTTGCGGATTTTCTAACTCATGCCTCAACAAGTGCAGACGTACATTTTGCCCTAAATATATTAGGTCTGGCTGTTTTTGTGAATCTGGTTATTGTAGAGATTGTGTTCTTAAAAATTGAAAACATAATTCAGTGTGAATCTATGTGCATTTAAATATAAAATATTTGAACCTGTGAATTTTATTTATTAAACATTGTTTGCACATGAATGATTTATCTAAACATATAAATGTATCGGAATAATGAATTAGAGATAAGGCTACGGTATTTGGCACTGGGAAGTAGAAAACCGCATTTTTTGAAACATGACTGCAAATCAACAAAAATGCAATTGAAACTTGATGTCAGGTTTTTACTGCTCAAATTCATATCAGGTTTTTACTACCTACAAATTTACTGGAGTTCGTACTCTTTATTTGTTGGTGTTGTTGTTGTTGTTGTAAGCTTTATTTGTAATGCATTTTAATCTGACCATTCTGCGAAATCTAATTGAGGCCTAACTAAAGCTCGACATCTAGTAGGGTCTAATGTTTCTAAAATGTTGCAAACATCTCCTTCATGTCCTTAGAAAAAGTAAATAGATCCAAACGTTTTTCAATTAATTAAAAATTTATTCCATTTTCATACGAAAATATTGAGATTTACATAAATATATAAATCTAAGTTAAATTTTACATCAGAAACTAGTTTGGTTGTTTTCTCACCAGTATCGTGCACGAAAGGCTCTGAATAACAAATCAATTCCATTAGACTTACAACAAATATATCAATTCCCATTATACTCCACTGGCCTACTCGTGCACTACTACATTGCAAAAGTTTCCCTGATAGAAAAATATAAGTTATTTTATAAACTATAAAAATATAAATAACTGTAACTAACTAACTATAAAAAAATTATTTTATAAAAATATAAGTTAGTTGCAAGACCACTAGAGTGTTTTAGTGTGTGTTCAAGTGTATAAATTTAGAACCGCCATGTAGAAAAATGGTTTTGTTTACCTTCAATATAAAGAGGTCATATTTACAGATGACATAAAGTTAGTTTTATTAGCTGAAAAACATTAACGAGCGTAAATACTGTGTGATTCATCTAGAATGATCTCAAGGTCTTGCAAGTTTTCTAATAATTTGTTGAACGATTAGCGGACAGATCAATATGTTAAACCATAAAATGTTTCAAGCAAAACTAGTTTTTGCCCTTGCGATTTTGTATCATTAAGAAGAAAGTTTAATCTAAAAAAAGTGTTATAAGATACCCATCCTATATGTTATGTTTTTATTTATAAATAAACGCATTTGGCCAATGGTAATTGGAAAACCGATGTCTGACTTTTAGCTGTTATCACTTAAACGCCATTAGCAATAATCAGTAACTATTTTGTTCAGCTTTGGTGATATATTTTCGACAGCAAAATGAAGATTTATTTGGTTGTAGTAATTATTTCCTTATGGGTTGGAGGTAAGCTAATTTTACTTCCGAGGCAATACGGATTTAGCCACAAATAACTAAGAAAACATATAGTAAAGTTTATACAAATTTTCAGATTTGGTTCAAATGCAAGAGGCCTGTGCAGACATAAAATGCTCATCTCCTCATCAAATTTGCCGAGGTTCTAACCCATGCTATAACAAATGTAGTAGTCAATTTTGCCCGGCATATTTAGAATATGCCTGTTTCTGTGAATCTGGTTATTGTAGCGACGATAACGGAGATTGTGTTCTTAGGAGTTGAAAGAAATAATGAAGTTCTTGTTTATATGTATTGAAATAATAAATATTTCAGTCTGTAGGTATGATTTATTTAACATGCATTGACGCGAATGTTTTATCGAAACTTGTAACTGTATCGGACTGATGAGTCAAAGCTAAATACGACAATTGCTTTAAAATTTTCAAATGTTTGAAGTGATTAAAAAGTTGCAATTTAAACCGAACGTTTCCCGAGCATGAAGACATTTAGGTAAACAGTAAAAATATTCTATTATAAATTGTCCTCGTTTTCAACATCACCTAATGTTTATCTCTCTAAATAATGCAAAGTGTTATTCATATTCATGTTTCTGACTTTAGTTGACCCTACGTTTTTTTTTTGCTTCTTTATTACAACTTTCCAGAAGCAGAAGTCGAGGTCTCACTAGATTTCGATATACAGAAGAGTCAAACGTATCTAAAATGTTGCAGACATCTCATTATCGCGTTTAGAAAAAGTAAATGAAATAAAAAATGTTTATACAAAAATATGATATCTAGCTGTGGTTATTCAATGTCCATACAAAAATATTAAAATTTACATATTGATCTAAATGTTTATTTAATTTCAGGGCCACATCTGATTATTTTAAGTATATCAAGGGTTTAGTTGTGCTTTTATTAGGCCCCAGTATAAAGTATGGCTCAAATTTGTTCAATATGCTCTGAATATGAATATGAGTTATAGCTGTAAATAGTAATGAAAATTAAATGGCGGCCTCAAACATTCAAGTTATAATTACTAACGTTTATTAAATTCATACTTAGTTCATTGTAAAAATATTACTTTTTCTTCACTGATAAATTGACTTAATTCAAAACTCGATTTACGTCATGAGAAGGATGAAGACTATGGAATAATAAATCAAGTAAATTAGATAAAGTTCAATAAATTGAAATTAGTTCTTTCAATTTACATTCAATGTGCAACGCACAATTGACCGTACTATTATTTGTCTGTCTTGTGTCTCAGAAGTTTTCCAAAAAAAACATATCAATTACTTTTTAAAAATTAAGTATTAAATACACGTAAATCCGTAAGATTCAGGTTGGTAGACTTTTTTATACTAAATTAAATGATAGCTATCGACGCAGTAATTTTATTCAATTTTTATGCAATTTTGATCAATATGAGCTTGATGTTTTGTGTAAAAGGCTTGTACATTGTTAATCTAAATGACAGACTCACATTCAATTTATCAATTATTTTATGCTCGCATCATTGTCACCTGCGGAATATCTCTTCTTGTAGTTTTTAATTAAACTTTGGACTTTTCTACCTTGATATGTAGTTAAAACAATGCCTGAATTGCAGATTCACATTCGATCCAGGTGATGATTTGGGAATGTTTCTCGTTGTTCGTTTTTTCTTAATTTTTATTTTCATGAAATTCCGATCCTCTATAGATTGCAATTTTGTCAAAAGGTTGGCTAAATGGATGACCACATTCCAGCCAAGTATTATTTATCAAGGCTTTTTTAGTGCAATTATCAAGAGCGACGGATTTCTTAACTTGATTTCCACAAGATGTTTCCGATTAGTTTTTTGCTCCATTTTCATGAAAATTTCAACTTTCGATGCTCGATATGTTAAATATAGTCTGCTGAAATTGACGATGCAGATTCAAGCCGAATGCTGATTTGGAAATGCTTTCTTTTGATTATCACACGCGCTCACAATTGATTATCTTGCTAGTTTTTATACAGTGTGGTCTTCAACTATTGTGACAAAATCCACTGGCATATAGTTTAGACAAAAATATTATCTGGAAGTCAATAGTTTTCTGTAAAGTAAATTGAAAATAAAATGTTTAATAGATTCTTAACAATATGCATTCACTGGAACCAACCGAACAATTTCCAGAGCAATCAGGTCTCAAAAGCCAAAAATTGTTTCCGGATGTTTTTTTTAAATCCGCATTAAAATTAAGAACATAATATCGTGAATGAAAAAGGGCTGCAATTTTGTAAGACCCATTTTCTGGAAAACACCGGCCAGCTACTGAAATCAAAACAAATGGGCTATTTCAACTTTATTAACGACGAGACCTGCAAATTTTGCGGCATAAATTATGATACATCCGGGATTGAGCAAATTAAACCATGTAGCTTCGTATCCCCAGGGATTTTCCTGCTTATCTATGGATATGTTGCTTAAATTAACTGATTCATGGGGAACCGTTTATAAAACATTTACAGTAGAAAAATTATATGTTCACTGCTTTTCCATTGCTGCTTTCCACGGCGTGTTTTATGATGGCAAAAATAAAATCACTCAGATATCTTAAAAAACTGTTTTTGGACACTTTTCTTTAGCTAAAGCTCATAAAATGATTGAAAGCAAAAACATTTTCCAATAGTCGTTATCAAAAAGCTAAAAATGAGAAAGTTTGTGTTTAATTCAATGACCTATATACAGTTTTATTATCTATACATACTCTTAAGCATAATGAAATAAAAATGGCTGTTTCAGCAAAAGAACCAATTGAAGCACTGGTATAGAAATAATACAGAAACATGATTATGAGATCAAACTTTTTAGAAGTGTTTAGGGCATCAACATTTGAGTAGAGAAAAATATGTCCGCAAATGACTAATAAAAACCTTACGACGATTCAAGACCATTTTGTACAAAATTATGTTCTATCTAGTTTTCCATTAATTAAAATTAAACGCACTGCAGAATGATTTTACAGGAATTAACAGATAGAATAGACAACAGAAACAGAATAGAAAGTTGAGACATTTTTAATAATTGGTCTAAACTGGACTGAGTAGAAACTTGAAGTTTTGTCAAGTTCTGGCCAAGGGTAGTAACGAGTTACAAGGCAAATTTTAATGTACATTGTCCATAGACTGATTTTCCAGCAAAATAAAAAATCGCGCTTTGGAGTAATTATTCAGAGAGTCACAAACTTCGAACAAACATAACGTAACATAACAAAAATACTTGCTTTTAGCTAGTAAGTGTAGTAGTAAGTATAGTAAGTGTCATGTCATTACTTATGTGTATTTTGAAACTTTTGCTTATTGCTTAGAAACAAACTTAAACAAAATAAATTAAAACTCGATTAGACATGATTTTGCAGAAAAAAATATAATGCAACAAAAGGCCTTAGCGCCTTAAGGAGCTACATAATTCCAGACGTGAATCTTCTATTAATGGCCTGAACTCTTCCTAGAAGTTGGGGCTTTCACTATTATTTTAAAATCTAGCTAATGCGAAATGCTTTGTTATAAATAGACGATTATAAGTAAAAGCAATAAAAATCTTATCTGTGTATCTTAAATTATCAAGGCTGAATACTTTCCAGCTGCTAAGCTCTATAAAATCAATGCTATCCAACTTTGAGAATAGAGATTAAATAAGCGAATTTGGGGTGAAAACACTTTGGATTAGACATTCCGGAATCATAAAATAGAAGATTAACAAGTGAAATTGCAGTAAAAAATTCTTATATTATTAATCGATAATAAAACAAGAATGGTTCATTTAAGTCATCTGAATGGGGCAAGTCGTTAAAGGCATTTAAGCATTTAACTTATTGAACATTTTTGGTACGGAAATCCGAATTTTAAATACGGAAATAGTTGCTGGTTCTAGTCAAGAAGACCCATGATTATATTTATGTGGAAAAGTATGCTTTTAGGAGAGTCAGCGTTATGAAAACGCTAATTAGAACAGTTATCATGGAAATTTCGCTTTTTGGAAGTAGAAAGATACTCCTTTAAGTAACACGGATAAACATTTGCATAATCAAAAGTTAATTGGCAATTTCACCTGTTCAGAGAAATTCAGTCTATTAAATGGATTGGTGCGGCACGGAAATCTGGCATGTGAATTTAGGTATGTCGGCTGATTAGTTGCCGAATGCGAATGAGATCTTAATTTCTAGGGGCTTATGATATTCCAAAGCCATTATCTCTGGTAATTGCTTACGTCAACTAATATGTCGCCGTTCCATCGATTTTCTCTCACTCGGAATAATAACTTAATGGATTTCAGATTTCAGCTTGCGAAGAATCTGGCTTGGAAATTCCATGCTAAATTAAATGATAAATTTATGAGTATGCAAATTTCAGACAATTTTATATAGAATATAATTTTATATAGAAAAAATCACATATTTCCTACTGAACACCTCTAGTAATCTGTGACATCTTTTCTATCGAATTATTTACTTATATATATAAAATTGGAGCTTTTAGATTTTGGAAATTGCACGAACATAAGATTCGAAATGTAATGGGCAACAAGGGAAAGTTTTTGGTCTTGACAATCTGTAAATTTTGAAAAAGGATTAAAATTTTACCAAATAATCTAAACTTATATTTACTTTAAACGCTCCCACGTGCGAGAAAATATGGTGAAAAGTTCAATGTGCTACTTAGCTTAATTAGAAAGATACGATGCTTTGTAAGAAGAACTATGAGATCGGGAGGCCTGCAGCACTCAGATTTTTCGGCGATTTTAATTACATTTCCAACATTGTTAAAGTAAGTGTCTTCTAAAGATGGTAAAACTCTCAGATTGCCATATAATTTAATTTGGAAGATGTGCATTTTTTGGGAAAAGAGCGAATTTCATTAAATACTTTCAGGGTAAGCCTGATAAGAGATTTACAAAGCTAGCAAAATCAAGCTTCCCGACGATTTCGATAAAACTTGCTTGAGTCAAGTTTCTTCTAACGAGGGTGAAATTTTGGGATCGCCAATTGACTTAGTTTGAAACACGCAAATTTTTAAGAGAGGCTCAATCGAAAATTAGTGCTTTTCGCAATTTCTATTAAACTCGCCACATCTTTGTAGACAAGTGCATTCTAATGATGGTGAAAACTTAAAATTGCTACTTAATTAAAGGAAGAAGATGGAAACTTTTAAATAAGAAAGCACATTTGAATAAAAAACTTCATTATGAGCCTGATACGTACTCGACTGAACAGATCAAGATGTTCGACTATTTCTATCAAACTTTTTAGAATCGTTAGAGTTAATGTGTTGTCTGAAACAAGTGAAAAAATACAGGCACAATTTGAAG